GTTTGAACTGATCGCACGCAGTTCTCAAGAGAACTTGCCCAATTGTAACAAAACTTATCTTGAATGAATTTCAAGATTCATTTAAACTGAATCAGTGAAAGTTTCGCAATGGTAACAAGGCTTGTGCTTAGTTTCGATCGTTAGGCAAAGTGATTAGTCGCATCGAAAAAGTGTGGTGTGAGAAGATTCCGTGCCACATGTCAGACCAAAATTTTGTCCAAAAACCTTATGGATGTGGCGGCCATCATTGCCGTTAGTGTATGATGGAATAGCATTACCAAGTTACTCCAAGTCCTTATCTTCATCGTCATCGTCATCATTATCACTATCGTCTACACCATCATCTTTATCCTCGTCATCACCGTTACCTTCATCACCATCGCCACTCCCCGCCTCATCTTTTCCATCTCCTTTTTCCCCTGAACAACATGAGCATTATCAGCACCTTCGCAAACAATAACTGTAAATTCAATGAACGATCAGTGTTGAGCATTACTAATTGTTACAAAGCATCCGTAACGACTAATCCAGCGCATATGTTGCCTGATGATGATGATCGAAGCTGAATACGAGAGAAATGATTGTCCGTATAATTATCGAAACAAATCACTCGAATCACCTCCATTGCCACCTCCGCAAAGGTTACACGTTTTCTTGCAGTATTGTGCGGCGTAATCTTTGTATTCTGTGCAAACGTAGTCTCGACCTACACAGTCCGGATTCGCATCTTTGCATTCTGCAATGTATTTGTGGTTTTTTTTATTCAGGAAAATTTTAACATTTCCTTATGATTAGTTGCGTGGAGAATTAGTTGCGATGTTGAAGTCAGGAAATTTACATAAATGTGTACGTGTAGTTTTTTATGGCAAAAATTTTTGGTTAATCTTCAAATTCACCTTCTGCATTCGCTAACACGACGATCAGAACAACTGATAGAGCAAGGCAAATAAGTACTTGAATCTTAGTGAACATGTTTTGTCCTGAAACCAACGATTCAACATTAGTTCATGAAAATAGCGTATTTATCGATGGAACGTGACCGACATTCATATCAAAAACCTCGCTCATCCCATCTATTCTTATGCTACAAGTAGAGACCGGTGTTCACCAAGGAGCAACTTCCTGATCTCATCAGCGGTCAACTCGTCGAAGAGGACGACAATCAAGAAGCATAGCAGCGGAAGTGTCCGTGAACAGCTCCCCGCTGGCGTTCGCGCACCTCGATGAATTCTACTCGAGGTTCTTGCCGGCAACTGTCTGTTGGGTGTTGCTAACCAATAGAATAATTCTGTTCCTGTTGCCGAATCTTCCATGGTGCACGATGTTTTCAGGATTTTAATGCGTAATCGATGAGTACCGAATGAATAGTGTCCGTCATCCATAATTCTTCCTAATTAAGCATTCTAATCTTCCTGACTTTCAAGGATAATATTATGCTCTTCTCCAGATTCCAGCAACCGTCAATACTCGAAAATAAACTGCGTCTCCGGTTGGAACAAACATCAGGTGATGATATGTTGAAGGAGATGTTCTACCTCAGTCAATAGCTTACGCAGCAAAATCATGAAAATTGCTGCAATGAA